TTAAAATATTAATAAGCTGTCTTTCTGGACCAGTCCTCTCAAGGCAGTGTCTAAAATATGAATGTTGCTGTACAATTACAATATGGCACTATGTTAAAAAAAAGAAAGATGTAATAAACAAAAGGAAACCACAACTGAGTCTAAGTCTTCAAGAGGAAGAGGGTTTTTTTTCTGTTTTGGTTGTTTTGCAGTATGTCCTGTTAAAACCCATCTGAAGGAGATAATGCTGGGTTCACGCCACACTTTTAACTTGGTCACGGGGTGGTCCCCTTTTCTGAGTTTGTGTCATTCATAAGCAACGGATCAAGTTGAGCTTGTAGGTGTGGCCAGTAGGTTTTCAAACTGGCCCGGTTGGATGTGCCGCGTGAACCCAGCCAGCGTGCTTTGTTCTGAAGGTTGTCTGCTCTGCCCAGGAAGATGGTGTAAGCAGAAACCTTTGAGGAGGAAGTACAGTTTATGGGTGGAATATGGGCTTGCAGGTCAGAGATGCCCGTTGTTAAAAGAAAGCTGGGGTTGCAGGTGAGGGGAAGAGCTCCCAGCCACCCCAGAGAACCGTCCCCAGTCAATCCTAGATGGACAGTGGCTGCAGATCAGACGTACCACATGTGGGCTTTTCTAAGAGCTTTAAGCAGGACAGTAACGAGGGGCAGCCATATTTGCTCTTCACAAGAAACCTCTGTTTACTCCAGGAGGTTTTCCTTCAGCCCGGTACCGACACTAGCAGCGATCCGGGTTGGAGAAGAAGAAATAGTGGTATGTGCTCATAGACAGGCAGAGAAGGGATGAGAATCCAGAATGGTGGCCCCTCTCGTTGGATCTCCTCTGGGGCATGGGGAGTGATGCTAAAGTTGCTCAGTCTTCCAGGCCTTTAAAAGAGAGCATTTTCCCTTCTTTGCTTCTAGAAAACGAGCCTCCTTCCTCGCTCGTCTCGGGCATCATTGATTACAACATGCCTCTGACCTCCACCTACTTGAAGCAGATGAAGCTGCGGGTCCTGAACTCCCAGGAACAGGTGAGCGGCTTTTCCTTGCCTGGTGAAGAGATCTTTGGAATGCGAAAGCTTGCGCGCGGTCCTGTGGGTCTTCGTCTGCAAACTCCTTGCCTTAATAGGCTTTTTCTTGCTATCCGTCCAACCTGTCTTATTCCAACACGCGCATGTAAAAACACACGGCGAGGCTTCAGCTGCACCAGTTTTAGGATTAAGCCCAGGAAGTTCATGATTTTCCACTAGGCTGGATCTAAGAAATAAGTAAAACGGTGAAAGAGCTAGGAGGAGTTGAGCTGCTAAACCCAGACGTAAACTAGAGTGGAAGATGTTATTATAAGTAAATTGGGTTTTATCTGTGCTATGTCCTGAAGAACTTTGATCAGCAGGAAGACAACCAGTTGTGGTTTGTTTGTTTGGAAGTATGTGAAAAGCAGGGAGCCGAGCCCCTGTTTCTGCAAAAGATGCCCCCCAGGCTGTTTGAAATTATGCTAGGACAGGGAAGAAAGCGAAAAT